TCATTTGAAAAAATGAACTTTTGACTACTTTCATGCACAATGGAAATAATAGTAATTTTAGCACGCCCTGTATGATATGGAGTCGATTTCTTGGTGTTATTTGAATATTTCGAGTTTGTCCAAACTATCATCAAAATATCAACTTTTCATGAATTGAGAGTACTGATGTACTTAATTTCAATTAAGGCTATGATAGGTATAGGACATTATTAACAAAAAAGTATTAAAATACCAGAGCGATTCCAAAAATGTATTAATATACGGGGTGTTCCATTTAAAAAAATATAATTGCTAAGACTTTTTGATAGAAGTGGCAACGCCGCAATGCTGAAAATATTTTAGATCGACAGAACAGGTAAGGAAATGTGAGAGGTGAAATTTTCTGAAAAATCGTGCTTTGCGTTTTCCAGAAACGTGTAACCTACCATCGACCGTGAGTCACGCTGTATTTACAATTATCAGAATGTCTATAACTTCGTAATTTGGGGGATGATTCTCGTAGCTAGAAAATGAAAAACACTTTTTTCTAGTTCTACCTCGATGAAATTTGATTATTGTTTTATTTTCTCATTCAACAAAAACTTCATTTTCAGCAATGAAGAAGTCAAAAGCGATGAATGGCCTTCAGACACTGATGAGCGTTTGAAAAATATAGAACCCAAAATGGTTGAGTTAATAAAATCTGAAATTATGGATTGTGGTCCAAACATACACTGGAATGATATTGCAGGATTGGCATTTGCAAAGGTAGCCATTCAGGAAGCTGTTGTCTGGCCGCTGCTCAGACCAGACATATTCACAGGACTCCGGAGACCTCCAAAAGGAATTTTGTTATTTGGGCCTCCAGGAACAGGAAAGACTCTGATAGGTTAGCTATCTCAAAAGAATATCATTGGTAGGATATCCATTAATGTTTGATTATTTTAGGGAAATGTGTTGCTTCTCAAAGTAAATCAACCTTTTTTAGTATTAGTGCATCTTCCTTGACATCTAAATGGGTAGGTGATGGAGAAAAAATGGTGAGAGCCTTGTTCACAGTGGCTCGTGTACACCAACCTGCTGTAAGTTTATCACCCATGATTTTGTTTTGTTTAAAATCTTGTTTAGTTTAAAATCTATTGATTGATGCTACGAAAAATTATGAAATAAGTCATTCATTTCATTAGTTCGGGCTTCCATTGTCTAATATGATATAAATTGATTTGAAATCCCTTAAATAATCTGTAAAAAAATAAAATGATTAGCTGAAAATAACAATTACCTATATTAAGCAAAAAACTGAAATTACAATGAAAAACATCCAAGTAACAACCAAAAAATAAAAAAAAAATTGAACTATTAACACGAGCTGAAAATTAAAAAATCATCAACAAGAAATGAAAATTAAAAATTGAAAGATTAAACCAAGTTACTTTACGACGTTTCGATTGTTAGTATCCACAATCGTCTTCGAGTTTCAACTGGACTTATTCCTCCGAGATCTGACTATTTATATGTCATTCAAGTGCTTTTACCTATCCATTCCATCACTCCAAAGTGATGATGGTACAGGCTTCAGCTAGAAGACAGCAAGAGCTCCACAAAGAAGAGAAGCCGCCACAACCAGTACTTGCACTTCCTTACATCAGAGGATTGTCGGAAAGGATAAGAAGGATTGGGTACAAGTAAAACATCAGAACCGGCTTCAGATCTGGGAGCACTATCCGTAGCAACCTCACGAAAACCAGGCCACCAAACGCGGACTGCGATTTCAAGAATTGCTTTTACCGGATACCATGCGAGTGCGGAGAATCATACATCGGTGAAATTAAGAGGCCATTGAAAGTTCGCATTTCAGAGCACAAAAAACACACACAGCAAGAAGAAACCAGCAAATCCGGAATAGCAGAGCATGTTTGGACTCATCAACATAAAATCAAGTGTGCTTAAGCTGAAATTATCCAAAAGGAGAAAATTCAAAGAAGCCGCATATATGTTGTCCAACAACGCATTTAACCAAGCTAGCGTAGAGATACGTAACATATGGAAACCTCTAATCAAGTGGAACACGACCAACTCCCGCCAAACGGTCAGCTCCAGCTAAAACCGATGAAGCGAATGGGTGAAAGCACTCGAATGATCTATAAATAGTCAGATCTCGGAGGAATAAGTCCAGTTATCACCCGAAGACGATTGTGGATACTAACAATCGAAATGTCGTGAAGTAACTTGATTTGGAATCTTTTAATTTTAATTTCTTGTTATTATTTTTTTTTAATTTTCAGCTCGTGTCAATAGTTCGATTTTTTTTATTTTTTGGTTGTTGCTTGTACGTTTTTTCATTGCAATTTTAGTTTTTTGCTCAATATCATTCAATTTCGTGAATTCCAGACTTTTCCGAATTCTCGACTTTGTCTTTTGGACTTCCCAAAAGGCTCTGTAGTGTATGACTTGTTTTAAAAACCACCTCCATACCTAGTTCCTTGAAAATCTTTCCAAAGTTCCTCGTATATTGATGGTATGGAACTGAGATGTATTTATCTTGGTTTTTGTCCTTTTTGAAAGTCGAGATTTCGTTCATTCTTAACCCAAACTTCTTTTTCCTGGTTTTTGTCCTTTCTGAAAGTCGAGATTTCGTTCATTCTTAACCAGTAATATTCCAGTAATATTCATTATCGAATGTATCAAAATTCATCTGGGAAAACTTTTGTTTCCAATAAATATTGGAAACATTTTATGACAAGAGGTTTCAAACCAGTTTTGAATCATCTTCTTTTTTTTGCTTTCTCTCATCTCATCCGTGGTCCATAGGTTTAGTCTTGTGGGATCCAACGTCATGGTTAGCTGTTTGACAAATTTATTTTTGGTGCAAACTTTGTGTCACTCCTTTCATTACCGGAATACATTTTGAAAATTATGGAAATCGGTAACAAACAGCCCAGATTTCAAGAATATTATGCAGTTTTTTCAGTTGTCTAGTAGTGTTAAATCTAGTGTAGTGCCTGCCTCGGGGCCTGATCCGGTGGATTGAGTTTTTCCTGAAAGATAGAACATTTCAGGTTAGAGTAGAGAGCTCTCTGTCTGACAACAGAGAGATCCTCGCTGGAGTACAGGGGGTTGTGCTCTCTCTTAAGCTGCACTCCCTTTACACCAGCGACTTTCCGAGGCCAGAGCGTGTGAATATATCACTATACGCCGATGACAAGGCTCTCATCTCATCTTCCATGGGACGAGAGCTCGGCGTCGTCTACATGCAACGTGCATTGGACGACCTCGAGAGCTGGCACATCGAATGGAAGATCCGAGTGAACCCGGAAAAAACTCAGACGATAACCATGGGAAGAATGTTATCTTCTCCCGCCAGAAAAGTGAGGATCTCTGGAAAGGAGATCAACTGGCAAGCGCGGGTAAAGTATCTCAGTCTTCTAATAGACCGTAGGCTCACCTGGAACCCGCACACCACAACCGTGAAGGCAAAGATCGAGGATCGGATCAAAAGTCGGTACCCTCTGATCAATAGACGATCCAAACTAAGCCCAAAGAACAAAATTACGATCTATAAAATGATGTTCAAGCCTGTCATCATGTATGCTTCAGGCATCTGGGGATAAGCGGCTCCGTCTAACAGCTCCATTCTGGAGACACTATAAATTCACAATCGTGAATGCTCCATGGTTCGTACGGAATGAAGCCATCCGCAGAGATTTGCAACTGCCTTCCATTCAGCAGTCCATTCAGTCGAGGAATCGGAAGTCTTTGATTGTGCAGAAAGCCACGATAATCCGTTAGTTGGGGAAGCTATAGATTATGCTCTAGACGACCCCTCTCGATATAGAAGGCCCAGACACTCTGTCGAATGAGGCCCTCATGTCCCCCGTTAAAAGATGAACAATATCTTCATCCAAATACCCCAGCCAGGCAGGGGGTCTACCGTGAGGGACGAATCTTCATCTCGTGTTAATAGTTCAATTTTTTGATCGTTGCTTGTATTTTATTTCATTGTAATTTCAGATTTTTTGCTTGATACTTTTTTTGTTTTTTGAACATTTTTAAATTAAATTAAGGTAAAAATTGGAAATATTCATCTTTTTGTAAGTTATAGCAATAATTGTCTAACCATTAAATAACCTTTTGTAATTTTTAGTTAAAATGTCTGGTCGTATTTGTGCAGTGTCAACTTGCAAAAACAATCAGTTGACTTTAAAGAAAAGTGGTGTTACTGATGTAATATTTCACTCTTTTCCTATTGCTAAGGATATGATTTCTACAACTTTGCAAAAAAAATGGATTCGTCGTTGCAAAAGAGGTGATAAATTCACTCTCAAAAATGAATTTGTTTGTTCTTAAACATTTTTCAGAAAATGATTATGAACGAGACCTTGAAAATGAATTATTGTTAGGTAAAAACTTATTCTATTAATTTACTGCTTAAAATAAATATGGTTTTTTTATGGGTTTGCCTTTGCGTCGTAAGAAAACTGCAAAACTGCAAAAAGAGAAGATTTTCCTTCAAATATTATTTTTGAATTTTGCAAACTGNTCCTTATTGAATATTGTTTGTATGCAACGCAAGAGCCTCGTGCAGAGAAAAAAAAATCAAAACGGAATCATATTCTTTGTGTGACGTAAGTTAGTTGTTAAGTGAGCAATAACAGATTTAACACCGGTTGTTCAAGAATAACTATTTAGTATACAAACTGAATATTGAGTAGGAAGCTTTTTAATCTGTTGATCACAGAATGAATATGACCTATGGCACACATATGAAAAACATATTTTTCATTTTTGAATAGTTTTTTTTCATTTACATGAATTATTTTTCGTAATTATAGAATTCGTCAGCATGAATTATTGAAAAAAAACATAAATATTCATGATTTCCAATCAAAAATTCTTTATATCGGATCTCACAAGCCGTACCGCTTGTTTATTAAATCTGAGAATAAATCACAAATTTCTTCATCTGATTATATGAAGCAAAGTTCATTACTTTTGAAATTAACATTTATCATTATTATGAATTAGTTCCTTTGAAATAATTTAATTTTAACCCAGTAAACCACGCGCTTTATTATAAAGCTATACATGAATAATAATCTAGTAGATGGTAGAAAAACTGGCCTCATTTCCGTAATCATTAATAATAAATCAGATTACCTGTAGGAACTATTTAAACAGAATACATTTTCACCTGGAATAATTTATTTTATAAAAATATGATATCCCCCTTATTATCAACTAAACCAACCGCCACTGTTTTATGGTCCAACTTATTTCAAATGTAAACAAACTCTCTATAACTTCCCATTACCCGCCACCCCCCACGCCCATAAGTTGTACAGAAAAGGATAGTACGATACCCGTTTCAATATACATGTATTGTATTGGTATAGATGAGGGCTCTGATGAGGGTATAGGCATGGCAACTCTAGGTCTTATTATTGCTCTGAGATTTGCGCATTCGACTGTGTCACAGCATAGATAACAATCAGCAATGTCACTTCGCTTGGCGGGAGAAGTTCGCGCATATCCGTCGCGTTGATGAGTCCGCCATTTTGGGAAGTGACAGACTTTCTCATTCTGCTTTTGACTTTGCTCTTGTTAGGACGTATAGGTCACCTGTGTTCTGTGCGTATTGTGAATTTTATTTTTTAAGATAATGGAAAAACTAATAGGTGGTGGACACGTTTGTGCTGTTAATAGTTGTAAAAGTAACAGTTCAAAATTTAAAATGAGTTTTTTCATGTTTCCGAAGGACCAAGAAAGGAAGAACATTCTCCACTAAGTTATTTTCTGTTTTCATAGAGCCTACCTATTATTTTTGTAAACAGCAACATTGCTATTGTAGAAATACTTAATGTTAATGTTTTCACAACATAATTTCTTCATTGTCTTAATTCCTTCAGGATATAATCTCTCAAATAATGCTTTCATTAGAAGAAGTAAATAAAATCTCACTTTTTCGAATCAGTTATCCGCCTCTCAATTATACCCAGAAAATTATTTTAATGTACTTTTCATGAAAAATGTAATTTGTAAGTAAGTTCAGTGTATGAACTATTCACATGGTGTGGTATCTGTGACAGTTTCAGTGTTCGACATTTCATGTATAGCTTTTTTTTATTCATATTATCAATGTTTTTAACCCTGAAATCACAATGTTACTGTTTCCTTCATAATAATTTATCTGTACTGAGGATGACCAAATAAAAGGTCGAAACGTCGACATAAACAGAATTTTATATTCTGTTTCACTGACTTATTTCAGTGATGATTGTTATTGGAAAGTACATGTCAGAAGTACCTGTTAGAAGGGGGTCCGTAGGGGTGGCATTTTTACGTTGAAGAATGTCAAATTTTAATTTATATTTGATGTGTTTCAGGATTTTTTTTAAATATGGACAGTAACGGAAATAAATAATTTATTCTATTTGGGTTTTACACACTGTATATATGTTATGCCATTGAAAATCAGTCTGTGCACTCATTTTCTTTCGTGACAGTTTTTTGTATGTATTTTCTGAAGTCATTTTTTTTTAAAATTCTTTAGTTGCATATCACTATTCCTGAAATTAGAATGTCTGCACAAGAATTATTATATCAATTGAATTTGGGTCCATTCCGTAAGGTATATCAAAATTATATGAGCATTTTGGATTTAAAAAAGTTTGAGTGCGAACCTGTCCAAAACCATTTCACGAGTCCTGCCCTCTTATCGTCACTTCCCAAAATGGCGTCTAGATACTTTTCCACTTCAAAGGCGGCATGGCCAAGTGTCCATGCTGATTGTTACATATACTGTGACTGTGATTAAAAGCCGAGAGATCGGTCTCATAGTCACTCCGCTCTTCGCATTATACCAATCATAGTTTGAGGTTACATTTGTTACTTGAGTTACGAATTGTTATATATTTATTGAAAATGATTCGAATGTCTAGAAAATCAGTACATATATTTGGCAGAATTTTCAAACAAATAGTTATTGATGAAAACAGCTGCCGAGCAATTGTTAAAATACCTTATAACTTCACAAGAAACATTGAATTTTCTACTGAACCTAAAAGTAAATCACCTCTTGGAAATCTGATAGCAAAAGATGTAGCAGAAAAAGTTAAGGATTCATCTGAAGAAGAATCCAAGCAGCAAAGAGAAAAGGCATGGAAAAATATGAAACTAACTTTAACAATTTTTGGGGTATCTATCACCTGTTTGGGTGGCTACCTCATATTAACATTGGGCAGCCCCGAAAAAGACTTAGAAGGTAATCTTCTGAAGGACGACCTAGCAGACAAAAATATTATCCTTCAATATATAATCAGAACCTATCGAGGATTAGATTATTACAAAAAACTAATTAGAGAACCTTCAAGAGAAAAGTTGTTACCAGACCCCTTAGATTACCCGTATTTACAACCAAAATATACTCTAGTTTTAGAGTTAACAGATGTGCTTGTGCACCCTGATTGGACTTATAATACAGGATGGAGATTCAAGAAAAGGCCATTATTGGATTACTTTTTAGAATCACTACATGGATCATATGAAATTGTAATTTACACAGCTGAACAAGGGATGACGGTGTTTCCACTTATTGATGCAATTGATCCAAAAAATATAATAGCTTATAAGTTAGTAAGAGATGCAACTCATTTCACTGAGGGGAATCATGTCAAAAGTTTGAACAACCTAAACAGGGACTTATCAAAAGTTATTTGTGTGGACTGGAATGCAAAAAATGTCAAATTCAACCCAGAAAACTTGCTGCATGTGAAAAAGTGGGATGGAAATGACAATGATACTGCTTTAATAGATTTAGCAGCGTTGCTCAAAGCTATCGTTGATAACGATATCGAAGATGTGAGAGAGGTGCTGAAATATTATAGTAAATACGATGATCCGGTGGCAGAATTTAGAGAAAAACAGAAGAGGCTTCTTGAAGACCTTGAAGCGCAAGCAGCTGCAAAAAGAGAACATGAAACTTCCAAAGCTTCTAATTGGACACCAAATATTTTTAGTAGAAAGTCATTTTAAAGTGTTGGATTTGGTTATGTTGTTACTTTTCGTTTTCCGATTGTTAGAATTTATTTAATTCATTTAGGTTACTTTTTGTTTTCGAGTTGTGAGAATTAGATTTATTTAGTGATATATTTTACATAATGTATGTTTTTTTATCTATTATATATCGATAAAAAATATCGATATATCGATAAGGAATATCGATACGAATTCAAAATATCGGTATCGATAACCTCTAATATCGATAAGCCCATCTCTATGAATGAGTTGTCTGTCGATTCCAATAATTACCTCTACACAAAGGAAAATCTCCATTGCCTTTTCTTACTTAGGCTTGTCCTTTAAGGATAGTTGAGACTCAAGCTGATGTTGGATTATGAATGCTCTGTTTTTGGACTCTAGTTTTGAAAATAAACTTGATGGTCTATAAGACGTATCAGGAGAGCAAAAAGGGTACTATTTTTCAAAGTTTGGTGACCACCATAGAAGGACTTTAAAAATAATTTCACTCTGCATTCTTACCATATCTACATGTAGTAGACATCAACTTTTGAGATTTTATATGGAATATGAATATCATGTTTTCATTTGAAGAATTCGCCAACAAATCAAAAGTAGATACCTCAATACTTTTGAAATCTTTGAGAAAAAATAATTTGAATGCTCAATTATCTACAGCAAAATAATAGACATGTATATATTTTTAGTATTCACAGAGCCACAGCAAGAGATATCACAACCTAATTTTAGCACAACTATTTTTCTGATCTTGAATCTGTGCATAGTCAAGAACTTATGAGTTTGTTGTCTTCTTCCAAAATACAAATGCATTTTGAAGATTTGACCTGCATTTCATTGTATTCTGCAACTACTATTGATTATTGTATTACCTTGAGCAGATTTCTTTTGAGTTACTATCGTCAGGGTTGTCTGATTTTACGAAGCAATAGGTGGTACTTTATATCTTAATAATGCAGCTTCAAAACCCAAGTCCAAATGAGGTTGAGTATTCAGCTCAAATAATTACGAATTATTCAAAGAGCTTTGTCATCGGTCAATGTGGTATGACGTTTTTAATTTCCCTGACCTGTTCTCATTATTTTACAATCTTCATTTTAAAAACTCAAACGATTTTTTCTGAACCAAAAGGCCAAAGATGAAAAGGAAACAGTGGCTCACCAAAGTCATTGCAAGAAACATGAGACTTCCGCTCACAAGAAAATCCAAGAATGAACCATTACAACAAGTATCGAAGCATTGATGGCAAAGTCATCAAAGTCCCGAAATAAAATCACTTTAAGACAAGAATAGATAAAGCTGTCAATAAACCCAAAGAAAGCTGGAAAATTATGAACAATAATAAACCAAAATGTAAATTTTATATATTCGAAAGCAATCTGTACAGGTAAAAACGGGAACCTTTTTTATAGATGGGTATAGAGGGCTACCACAACATATAACTCCCCACCTTTCCACTATAATCTGGGATATGCTCGTATGTTCCAGATTATGCCTACATTCCAGAATGGTCCCGGATATTCAGAAATGCTCTCGAATACTCTCTAAATGATCTGAATTGTTCTAGAACTTTATAGAGAGAGAAACTCCCAACCCTTTATCACTCTTACAAAAAATAAAAATAGAAACCAGATAAATAGTAGGTACATAACAAGTTGTCCCAACATTTACCCAAGAAATTGAGATATTATTGAAAAATGAACCTAGCTTGGTCCATTCCAACTGAGTTGCTGAAACATTCATCGAGAGACGTGAGTTTTTTGTTCTGGTATGGAAACATATTTTTTTTAGATTCATTTTACCCCAGAGGTTTCAATTCTACCTATAAGATACTTGATATCGAAAATTCCCTCCCGTGAGAATTTTGATTGATCTCGTCTTTTTTTAAGTTTACGTAACAACTGAAGAAGCTATTGTATGGTTAATCACGGTTTGTGGTTTCTTAAAAATGTTGAAAATTTCACAAAATATTCAATTTGTTCAGCAGTATTCATTCTATTTGTTACTTGAATGTGAAATTGCAATATGAGTAATTTGTGTCAGTTTTTCATTTATCAAAATTGGCAACATTCAACTAAAAATCAAATGAAACAATGCAAATAGGACTAAGAAAATATCGAATATTTCTGACATGATATGACTTTATAGTACCTATAATATTCAACGAGCAAGAAATGTGGCCATCAAACGTGAGATTTAAGTTTGTGTTTTCTGCTTATCAGCTGTCGCCACCTCAGAAGTCAAAACTCAATAAGGTATTCTGTCTGTTCTGTTTTTTCCATTAACCAGCTGTCGCATCCCTACGAACGACAATCCTCAGAAGTCGAAACTTGTGCGAGCTGAGGATTAACGAGGTCTTACCTTTTAACGTGTGATTCCTAACACGGGTTGGACGATAGCAAATGAAATGCAGACTAGGGCTTGAACCACTGACCAACACGGCAGTCAATTCGAGTGAGTGAACAAAGTACCCACGCCGAACCGCTTGGCTACCGACCGACCGACCTTTTAACATGCGATTCCTATCATGTGATTACAATATTATTAAAATATTTTTTATTTTATTCATTACTGCTACTGGTAGCATTACTGCAGTCAAATTTTTATTTTTTATCGAATCATCTACATATCCTTCCGCCACAGATGTTGACTTCTTTCCTCCATGCCGCTCAAAGCAGTGATATCTCCACCTGTATCCACTAGCAGGGTAACAGATGATCTTCGAAACGTTCACCCAGTATAAAGTTCTGTATTTTGAAGTTTGAAAATATTGCGATCTGTTTACCCATAACTTAGAATTTATTGATTCCGGTTCTCTGATTTGTGCCGCTACCTTTCTGATAATTCATATAAATGACTCTTTCAATAAAATACCCCGTCGCAGCTTGATGCATTTAATACAAATATACTTATGATGTACTGTTTGGAACCTTTGGTGTAGTAATGAATATTACTGGAGTTTTTTCCCAACACCAAATCGTTATTTTTAACACCTCGACACGTGTTTCGATCACCAAGTGATCATCTTCAAGAAGAAGATGAAACATACAACTTACGCAAGCGAAACCATATAAAAACACCACAAGAAGAACCTAACATCAGTTACACCTCTCAAAGCGAAGCAGTAACTCGTCTTGATAATGCCATCTGAGATGATGGCGAAACGTCGACTATCGAATAGTACACAACGGATGAACACCCGGAAAAACAACACACACACACANCCCGTATGATACATATTTTTACTATTTTGATTCAATATGTATTCGAAGTAGCCAAAATCAAATCAGATTGGAGTATTTTTTATCAAATTAAAGTGTATTTGTAAAATTTACTTGGATTTGTATTTTTTTAGGTGTCCGTCAACTTCAGAAAAAAATTCGAATAGCAAGCAGGCCATGACTTCGTATCTGAACATAACTTTCAGTTCTAAACAACTTTTCTCTTCAACATATTTCTATATTTTTTGAAATAAGGGTACTTTACTCTTGAACGAACTTTATATTTTTTGGCCTATCCTGTATGGTGTTTGTCATAAAGTCATTACAGGTACACTTGGTTATAGTTTTGGAACATGCACCAACTTTTGTCAAGAATACAATTTTCTGAGAAATCAATAATAAAAAGTTTCCCATTTGTTGCACACTTAGTGGACCACACTGTATAGTAATCGATTATAATTAAACCGAAAAGTAATGAAATGCAATTTTCGAAAGGGATCTGCTCAAGAGTATTACGATAATTAAAAAAAAATATGGGAAGTTGTAGTGTTTCCAACACTATAAACGTTAAGACATTAACGTCAAAAGTTAGTAAAATTACTTATTTTGACATGAACGTGTTAATTGATAGACTTAAAAACGTGTCAAATTTGTTAATTATTTTCCTATCTGATAAATATATTTTTATACCGTACAAACATAAATGATTAATGTCAGTTAAGATTTAACGTGACGAAATCCAGTTTCATATTTTCAGATGGGAGTGAAGCAAAGCAAAAAATATTTTTACACTCCAATCTAAATTGATATTTTTTACGGTCAGACAGGTGTTGGACCGCGGGGCTTCTCGAGTCGCGGGGCCCGTAGTATTTGCTACTCTTGTTACGTGGCGAATCCAGCACTGGATCCAAGTATTATTAGCGAAAATACAACTTAGTACCCTCTTGGCCCCATCTTTGTTGTTTTTTTGGCAATGAATTCTGCATTCGTTTAGTGCCCTTGTGGTATGTCACCATCTTTGATTTTTCTCTACTCCACACTGACGTCATCACCTTCTCTCCTATACACACATACATATCGTCCCACTCTTACACACACACACACCTACCCAGATGGGGTGTTCCACAAGGTTCCAATCGGAGGTCTGAAAATGACCAGAATGAAGCACCATGAGAAAAAGCATGGGATTTTGAGCTGAAACGTATAAACGCACGCGAAACGGTCGAAATGTATGTAAAACAACGTATTTTGAAATGTTATTGCTGAATATTTCTCCTGCCCATTACCCCAACTTCGAACGTTAACTCTATATAAAACGTCGACTAT